TTAGGCTTCTCCACCTGGATTCCAATCATGCGGTAGAGAAGATGACCTGGATGCTATGATAAAACTAATCGATGAAGCTCAGGTATGCAATTTTTGCAAAAGGGACAATACCAAAGCTGTAATTGGTTTTTCCTTACATGAACCAATCAAAGCCTAACATCACCCTTTTTGCAAGTTACCAGAGTTCGTAGCTCAGTTTAAGTGCTATAAAACAATCAAAATGTGTTAAAGGTCAGTTTGGATATGGCCGTGATGAACTACGCTCCTGCTTCACTTTATGTGAAACCTTTAAATAAGTAAGTGTTGCATGTTGCTTGTGGGATACTATATTTTTACTATTCCTCGCGCTTTAGATGGTTTGGTAGATTGGACGAGGCTATTCGCCGGGCTGCCTTCGAAAGACAGGTTGAAGTGAGTGAAGTGAACCACAATATAGAAGAAAGTTTAGGCATTTCCATAGCAGTTCTATAAAAGAATGTGAGAAAATACATATAGGATGCCTAGAAAGGGCAAAGATAATAGAATCATTTTTTAAAAATTTTTGCACATCTTTCCATTGACTACTGATGTTAGGCTATAATAAAGAGAATTTTACTTAACGACATCTTACTCGATTACGGTGAAAATCTTCCTGAATAAGAAGTAACATAATCTAATTTCAGGTCCGCTTCCTGTTCTCTCGATGGTCGCACACAGCTGCCAAGTATTACTCTTATCTTCACTCATTAGCTGATATTAGTAGTCAGTTACCATGTCTTTATCAAGGTGGGTAACGTAGCATATTTGCATCAACCCTATGAAATGAATCAATTGCTACAGTCCTTTTCAGACAACAAATGTGTCAAGAGGGGATCAATAACCATAAAAATTATTCAAGTTCCTGATATGGAGTACGGTAACATACCGTACTCTCGTGTCTATCATAATAAGTACTTTGTTACAGAAAAGGCTGTATATATAGGTGAGGAGATGTCCTTGTAGAATAAATGACACATTTTACAAATTTTTCTTGTTTTTCGAAAGATTTTCTTTGCAGGAACTTCAAATTGGTCCGCTGACTATTGGTGGTATACGGCTGGAATCGGTGTAGTAGTGAAGTCGGACGACACTTCTCAGCAATCCTTTATAGTAAATCAATTCCAACAG